TTTTATTTCTCTTGTTTTTTTTAAAAGCATTTCCCTTTTCTTTTTATTATTTCTTTTTTTCTTGCATTTCATTTTCAGTTCTCATATTTCAAAAAGGTTATATATTATTACAAATGCAATTCTTTATATCAAAGGTAATATTCTGCATTCTGCAGGGCACAGCCCATGTGATATCTGTATACATCCCGCAATTTGTACGGACGCTATCCAATTTAATTGGCCTTACCATTTCAAAGGAAAATCCCTCCACTATCACTATTATGTGTGAAGGCGATGTGACCCGAAAAGTCTTTTTACTTGATACCTTCTCTGGTATTTCATACACTTCCCCTCCCTACAGTGGACACGTCGGCACTGTTCTCTGTGCCTTGCGTCCACATCGGCCAATTCAATACACGCGGCAGACGGTTGACGGCGCGGACGGTAATCCCATTTGTTTGGATTGGTTCCCAGCAGATACAGAAGGAAATACACCTGCAAAAGGCATTATGATTATATTTCCTGGTCTCGCCTCATGGTCGCAGACAAACTATGTGCAACACTTTGTTTGGCATGCCCACCACTCAGGTATTCACTGCTGTGTATTTAATGCCCGAGGAATGGGCGATACTCCACTCACACAACCGCGAATCACATCAGCGGCGTGGACAGAAGATATTCGTTGGATTGCACGCACAGCACTTTCCAAGTCAGCCCTCTCCTTACGATTTGGTTCTGCTGCCAATAATGTATGGAGTGTTGGCTTCAGTCTGGGTGGTGTTATTCTTGCCAAGTTTCTTTCAGAGGAAGGACAAAAAGGAACCCAAGATCTTCCTTTTGATGCTGCACTCATTCTAAATAGTCCTTTGGATACATTGGCTGCAAATCACAACATATCACTACGAAAAAATTTACTATATCAAAAAAATATGACGGCTGGGTTAGTTAAATATGTGGTTCGTCATAAGGATATTATTAAACGCCTACCAGGTGTGGCAACTGAGGGTATTCGAAAAGATCCTTCAGCATTATTAAAAAAAATAAAAACTATCTATGATGTTGATAAATATATTGTTGCTCCTCACAACAAATTTTCTTCCCCTGAGGAATATTACGCTGCTGTTAATACGCTTACATCACTTCTCTATACCAAGATACCAACTCTCTGTGTAAGTGCTATTGACGACCCAGTTACGGGTCATCCAAGTAAAAAGCAGCTTCAAGATGTTATTAGCACTAACAATAATGTTGCATTTTTACAATTGCCTCATGGAGGTCATTTGGGATATATTGGATCCCCTCTTGATGAATGGAATGATAGGCCGAGCATAATGGAAGTCATTGCATGTAATATTTGCGCAACATCATCTATGAGTAAAAAAAAGTAAATAATCTTTAAGCAAAACCATTACTTTTTTCAAAGCAAATAATTCGATAGCAAATTCATGAGGATGAAAAAATAGGAAAAAAAAAGAAAGAAAGTACTGTATTTGATGTTTCTTCTTTTTTTTTTCAGTCATTGTCCTGTGTAAAAAGTATATTTTTCTATTGGTCTTTGGCTCTTATTTCTTTGTCTATGGTAGATGAATGTTTTGACAACAATTTGCTTTTTTTTTTTTGTTTCCTCTCCCAATTAATTGTTGATTTTTTTTGTTAGTTTAACCACTCACTTGCGCTGTGTTTAAACTTGAGTGTTTTTTTTTTTTTGAAGAGAGGGGTAACCGTATCGAGTAAGGGTGGTTTCATTGGCTCGGTTAGTGTGATGTTTAGTTTGTTTAACTCTTGCAAAAATTTCTTTTTATTTTATCATTTACTGCAAAGAAAGGTTGACATGAAATGAAAGTTTGGTGCCTGATGTGATGCTTAGTATCACTGACTCACTCGCCCTTTCTTTCAAATATTTTTAATATTACACATACACATCCGTTGCTCAAATGTGAGCCTTTGAACGCATCTGGTAGCTTTCTAGATATACCTAAAGGGATGGCCGCAGGTCCAGATGGTATTTACGGCGAGGCACTCCAACACTTGGGACCTCGTGCCAAGGCAGAGAGTCTTGCCCTCTTCAACGAGAGCCTCCGTACAGGCGTTGTTCCAGTCTCTTGGAAAGTAGACATCATTGTACCACTCCTTAAACCAGGAAAGAAAGCCACCGACTTGGATTCATTCAGACCAGTTACTCCCACTAGTTGTCTGTCCAAATTAATGGAACGGATCATCGCAGCACGAATTCGAGATGTCATTGAAACCAAACTGACCCCGCAACAATCTGGATTTAGACCTGGTCACTCGACGTTAGATCAACTATTACACCTAAGCTCAGCCCTCACAAGACCCACCCCTGATTCGCGTACAGGTGCAGTGCTCGTAGACTACGCTAAAGCTTTCGATACTGTAGACCATGATCGTATAGTTAGTGCGATGCGAGAAATGGAACTCCCACCGCACATCATTCGATGGTCGGCATCTTTCTTGAAAGGACGCCAAGCCAAAGTAGGCGTCAACAGTAAATCCTCTCTCCTCTAATACATTTCCACCGTGACGTGCCACAAGGAACAGTTCTCGGCCCACTTATGTTCATTATAGTAATGAACACACTAATCAAACGATTATCATAGGTTTCCTTATTTTTTCATGGATTTTTTTCGCCGATGATCTCACGCTAGCAGTACGACACGTCAACCGAGACATCATCAACAGTACACTGCAACAAGGACTAAACGTGATGGATGAATGGTCCAAAAACTATTTTATGGACATTAATGTGGACAAGACGAAATATACACTTTTTGGTACCACAAACCCGCATCCCCTTTCTCTTAAACTACGCGGTACCCCCGTAGGTCCGGAGAAGGCACCTAAACTCTTAGGCATCACCTTCCAAAACTACCGAGGCATGTCTACCCATGTGGTTCAAACGAGACAACGCATGAATTTTAGATTACTAAAACTTGCAGCAATATCCTCCACCA